TACCAATCAAAATGGGCCAGCACTTAAAGGCAGGTGAGGACTCGTGGAACTGCCCAATTTGCTCTTAGATCAATTATTGAGGATGGTGTCAAAGTTTAGAAAGGCGACGCAATTAGATTATGACCGTTTTAGAGGGCGGTTTCATGAGCTAACGGTTACAAGTGTCTTTGAGACTTAGCTCTCTTTGGTCTCATTAAAATTAAAATTTATATTTCTCTTTTTCGTATTAATTACACATAATTTAATAAAATAATATTATACATATTCTCAAAAAAATTTCTTCTTTCTTAATCACTTTATTTTGGGGAAAAAAAAATACTATTTCAATCATTAAGATTACAAATATTGAGTGCTAAACGGGAGCTTATTGAAGAGTCTTGGAGATAAAGGAACGAACGGAACTTCTTGCCTTTTATCATATCGAAAAAACGATTGTGCTATGTACACATCACAACTTACTGATTTATTTATCAATAGATGACGTGGCAATATTTGATTGGGTCGGAGCATTATCAATCAATTAAAAAAATTATGACTTTCTTTATTACACCTCGTTAATTTGTAAAAGATTATATAAATGATGATATAGAACAAACATTTTCTTCAAAAAAAAGTTATTTCACTCAAAAAAAGACGTAAAGCTTTTCTCTTTACAGATTTATTTATTAACAGATAATGTGACGAGATTTGATTGAATCAAAATCTCGTTAATCAAAAAAAAAAAAATCCCCGATTTTCTTTTCGATGCCTCATCACTTCGTAAAAAATTACTGAAATAGTAATGTACAACAAACATTTTCGTCGAGAAAAAAAACATTTCACCCAAGAAGAGACGTAAAGCTTTTCTCCTTATCCTACTTCACTGATTATGAAGACTTTTTTAATCTAAAACGAAGAAAAGAAGAACTTCTTAACATATGACCAAAAAAAGGACACCACCTGGAATCGAAAGATCCTAAAAAAGAAAAGAGATACGTAGTTTTTCACCTTTTCATAAAATAAATGACCAGTAAACTTATAACTTAATTTTTTATTCGATTTTTAATAAATTTTAATAAAAGCTGATAAAATATATAATTAAACTGTTGATAAAAAAATGTAACTTGTAAGTATAATAGAGAGAGAGAGAGAGATATTAATTTTGACTTAAATTTTTATCAATTACTTAATCAAATAGGGATTAAGCTAAAATGATAATGAAATAAAAAAACTATCATTTTTATTTCAAAATAATCAAAACTAATTACAATGAAACGGTCACCTCTTTAATTATTACTATATAAAGAACTTGCTTCATATCTCAAATACAATTTCGTTCATACTCCAATATCTATAAAGCTATTTCTTTATATGATTTCGATTTGTTTGAGAATCGAAGAAGGAGTCATTGGGAAGAAAGTTCGAGTTCAAAATGATCATGAGAGTTGAGAATAAAATTAATTACAAGTTGTTCGACTTTTAATTTTTTTTCGTATTTCTTTAACTTTTCCAAATATTCTATTACCACCCTAATTGATGCCTTAATTTCTTTAAATCCAAACTAATGTAAGGCATATTATTTATTATTACTAAAATTTAAAACATAATACGAACTTAATAGGAGAATTAACATTACGTCTTGTGAACTATCTTGGATCCTGTTTGGTACGGATTAAAATTCAAATTTTAATTTAAATCAAAGTCAACAATTAATTTTAGTCCCATAACTTTTTAATCACACATTTTATCAATTTTTATCAAAATTTATTAAAAATCTGATTTTAGTTCTGACCAAATAGAAGCTTCAAGTTTTTATTTCCACTTTTGGAAAGAAAAAAAAGGTACAAATCTTCCATTAAATTTTTTATGACTTGATCCAAAATAATACTAATCAACCTTAAGGACTAAATATACCATCTGTTTGGTAGAAATTAAAACTTTAATCTAAATTAAATTCAATAATTAATTTTAAACACATATTTTATGAGTTTTATAACTTTTTAACCATATATTTCTTTATCCGTTTGGATTCCACGCTTGAGAAATTTGGTGAATTTTCGAAAACCATTGAACAAAGGACAGATTCACATCATTCCATTGAACAAAGCTAAATACTTTCACATTGTATGTATCACCTACAATCTTATCCAAATTTTGTGAAAATTTGCACAATCGACTCTAACTTTATTGCCTCTATCAAGTTAATATCCAATCTATAAAAAATAAATAAAAAAGTTGATATCTCAATCTTTTATAATAGTTGCATAATTAATTTTCAATGATATACATTACACGTTATTATGAAATACTTTATAAGTACTGTAAAAGTGATATTTGATACCAATTTGTTGAGAATAATATAAAAATAACGACGAGAATAATATATGCAATATGAAAATAATAGATCACAAAGAAAACAATATTTACGTGAAAACACAAATTTGGGAAAATCACGAGTAGATACAGACAATTCACTATAATCAATAGTAAGGAGTTACAAGAGATTTCTTTGGACCAATCACTAATTTGACAATTGGTCAATTCCAATATATGTTGTACACCACTTATTTATAACCAAAGAATCCTTAACGTATTAGGAGAATTAATATATGAAGAGTTTAATATAAGGTAAAGTTCCAATATAAATGGGTAAAACTTATAATGGAGAATTTGGAATGATATAGTAGTTAAATTTCACATTGGACTCCTTCGAGACATTTTCAAGTTTGCTACCAACTCTCAATACTTCTCAAATAATATTTTCAATCAAATACTCAACAAGAATTCGAATAACAATCCAATTCTAACACCCACAAAGATAAGAGAGGAGAACTTTTAAATCATCGACCCAGGTCAATTTATTATTTGATCGGGTAGATCCCTAGATCTAATCTATTTCACTTCGGATGTTCCTCTCTTTCAATTCTTGAAGGTAATATATTTAATAGATTTTCTACAATCCCAAGTTTGCATGTGTTTCTAGCTCTTTCGTTTGGGAAAAATGTGATTTTTGAATTGGAACTACGGTTAGGAATGTCAACAAATCGAAACTCGACGCTCAAACTCGGGCTCGATTCCAGTAGAAATAGTTCAAGATTTTTTTGCTTGAGCCGAGCTGCGCTTTGGCTCGACTGAAATATCTAGGCTCGACTTGAGCCAAGCTGAGCAAAGTCGGCTTGTGATTTTTTATTTTTATTTTATTTCTTTAAAAAAGGCATTGCTGCCTGCCATTGAAGGCAGGTGTAGCAGTCAAAGTTTAAATTCATTTTTAAAATTTGTTCACGGGGCGAAAATTGCCTATGACACGGGTCGACACTCCAAAATGGGGCTGACCTCGAGCCTCGGTAGTGATTCTTCCAAGCTGCGAGCTCGAATTTTTCCTACGCCAAGTTACGGATCATTCAAGTTGACAAGACAAATTGACACCCTAATTACTGTGATAGGAGAGTTTCAGTAAATTGGATTTTGTTTTATATTTCTCTCTTTGTTGGGAATTGATCTTTTTGGAATAAGACCAGGCTGACCAAATATGTCGGAAGAAAAAGTGCATTTTGGTCGGTCTTGTTATTGAAAATCTCCCTCGCTGTTTTATTGGTGTTGGCCAAGTAGTGGTTGAGATATAACATATATTTAAAGAATTATGGGTTGGGTGAGGGTGAGGGTGAGGGTGAGGGTGAGGGAAGGAGGAGAAATTGGGATTCATTTGCACATTTTTAAATCATTTGAAAGTATGATTGTAATTAATTCTTAATTTTTCTTTTTTGTTCTATTTAATAGAATGATATATTTGTCATTTCACAGCTTTTTATTGAAAAATTGGGTGAAAAATGAAATTTAAGGGATAATTTTAGCAATGAAAGGTGTAACTAGGAGCAAAAATGCAAAATAAATGCAAGATGTTGAAACGTAGGAACATTTTGTATTAATAATCCTTAATAGAAAATGCATAAATAGTATGCTTCTCTATGATGAGGATTAAAATCAAATTTTTAATAGATTATGATAAATATTGATAAAATATGTGATTGAAAAGTTATGAATCTCATAAAATATGTTGTTAAAATTAATTATTGAATTTGACTTAGATTAAAATCAAAATTTTAATCCTCACCAAATATAGACTATCGAAGCTAAAACTTTTTTATCGAACGAATGAACTTTCATTCTAACTTTTAAGAATTCGTTTGAGTCCATTTTTTTGGGAAAATAGATTTGATAATAGTAATTTTTCGGAGAATCTGTGGTTAAGAAATATAATTTTTTTTAATAGTTTGTGTAAAATTATTTTATTGAAAATTTTTGTAATGGAGCTCAAACATGGACTAAGTAATATCAGATTGATAATGATGTTCAAATAGTATAAATTTTATAAAAGTATTAAAATTAAAACATGAAAGTACCCTAACAAAGGACAATGCTACACCACAGACAGGTAACACTTGGCAGTTTCAATCAGGCGCTGCGTAACATATGGCTTTTTCCACGTCCATTCTTACATTTCAATTCCCTTTTGCCAAAATTACAAGATCCAAAATATCAAAGCATCCGTATACCCGTTTTACCCTCACTCATAATACACAAATATAATAGTTGATATAATCTTTAACATAATGACAATCTATTATTGTATTATTTAAAGGGATAACATTTCCGATAATGGCGTCCATTATGGACCCGAGCGCATCCCCAATAGGGACTTCCATGTGTCCATTATGTTATGGATGATCAGTTATGTACACATAGCATAATTTTTGTTTAAAATACAGTCAACTTTTTCAACAAATCACGTGCCAACACATATTTATCATTCTCTCCATCATACATTTTGTGACACACAAGCATTATTCTTTCACCGCCCTCTATCGGGACGGGAGAATCTCAACATCAAAGAATATTGGCCACGCAAGTGCTCTCTCTCTCTCTCCCTTCCTATAAAACTCTACTGTACCTTTACGACTTGCAGATGCTTGAGCGAAGTGAAGTGAAAATTTGGGTTGTTTTAAAGATCTAGTTCTTGCTTCATGAATAAAGTTGAAAATAGAGATCTTCTACGGATGTTGTTTACCCTTTTTTATTCTGTGTTCTTCATCTTTCTACTGGTAAGAAAAGCTACTTCTTTTCTTTTTTATTGAGAACCTTTTTCTACAGTTTTTAATCTGTCTTTTGTCAATAATATGAGTATCTTCTTGCGTTATCTGTTTTATTCTTTTGTTTTTCTGATTTTGCTAAAAAGTGCCGGACAGAAGTTTTAGGAGTTCATGAGTAAATCTAACAGAATTTGAGAATATTAGCGGTCAACAATTGTCGTTGATCGCTAGATAAGGCGCAGTGCATAGTGCTTAGACGATGTCTAGGCGCGATTTTTAGAATACTGATATTACGTCACCCTAATATTTCCTTGTTTTCACAATGCATCACGCTTAGACGACGTTTATGCACACTTCTTAGAACAATGATATTAGGTCACCCTAATATTAAGTGGCTTGGCATTTTCGCAATGCATCGCGCTTAGACGATGTCTAAATGCACTTTTTAGAATACTGATATTAGGTCACCCTAATATTTCCTTGTTTTCGTATTGTATCTACGCCCGCTTTTTAGAACACTGATATTAGGTCACCCCAGTATTTCCTTGATTCCTTCTATATTACTACGATTATTTATTTAGGTGACGTCAAAGCGCACCTTTTAGAACACTGATATTAGGTCATCCTAATATTTCCTTTATTCCTTCTATATTAGTACGATTATTCATTTAGCCCCCTATTTGACAAAGCTTTTTTAAAATTATAAGTTGGTAAAAATTTCATTTTTAACACATTTTATTGAATCCACCCGCTCAAAAACGTTGTCTAAAAGGGGCTTAATCCATGACAATATAAATATTAAACTTGTCAGTCAATGTTTTGCGGTGTTAATATTTCTCATTTTTATGACTCCCGCACCTTCAAGGAAACCTTATAGAACTTGATGAATGTTAATATAGCTTTCCTTTATGTAATACCATATTTGAATTAAGTTAGCCGCATTCTTTTAGTGTATAAAGAATCTTGAAAAAGAGTTAATTCTTTTGTTCAAAGGAGAAATGAAAAATAATCTATATGCTTCTTGATTCTGATGCATATATATATAAATTTTGTTCCCTATAATTCATATTATGTCCACTTAGTGTACAATCAACTGATAAATTAAGTTGCCATTAGGGATAGCAAAAAAACTCGATGGCTCGGGCTCATCCCGGAAAAAGCCCTAGCTGGGCTTGGCTCGGTGCCCATTTTGGGGAGTTGGCTCGAGCCCGGCCCGGCCCGGCCCGGCCCGTGACTAAGTATTTTTAAATACATTATAAAAATTATATATTTATAACGAATTAAAAAAAAAAAAAAACGAGTTGGCTCAGCTCGACCCGCTAAGGCTGGGGCAGAGCCTCATTTTTTTTATCGAGCTTTTTCCTCGGCTCGGCTTGGGCCCAAAAATGCTTGGACCTGTTTTGGCGGAGCTTTGAGTTTCAGCTCGTGGCTCGACTCGTTGACATGACTAATTGCCATGATGGGATTCTCCCTTTTATCTTAAAAAAATAAATAAATAAAATACTACTCTCTCTCCCCCCATATTTCTTTAGCACTTTGTTCTTATTAATCTCTCTCGAATGATTTCATAAACCCCATGTTTAACTGTGTTTCTGTTATTGAGAACTATCTACATATTCTTTTGCCTTATGTGTAACTGTTTGAGATGCATAATTTATCAATGTCCATCCATCTCCACAAAAAAGGGAATAGAAAAAAGAGAGAATAGAAATAGCAAATATATTTTAATGGGAAAAATGAATAGCAGATTTACTGATTGCTGCTTTGATTCTGTCTCAGTTAGGGGTTACATCGCATGGCTCATCATATGGAAACCATGGAAGTCAGAAATTGTCGACGTTTTCATTCTTCAGTCGATTCTTGAGAAAGTCCATCAGTCATATTGGTTGGTCAATGTGTTCTTTCTTTTATTTTATTGATTTTAAAATTCCATCTAGATAAAAAGGTTCATAATTCCAGAGAAGGAAAAGTTTGGATAATTGTATTTTGACTTGTATATTTCAAGATTTAAACACACATTGGCTTAATAACTAGACACTTATATGCTAAGATCGCCTTACATGGTGGTTCTGGTTAGTTGACAACCTCAGAAGACTTGGAATAAGATTATAGTAATACTGCAAGTACAAGGTAACTTATGTTCATGAATTGGTTGCTGATGAAGTTCCTTTCAAGTTATTTTCTCTTTTTATTTTTGCTTAAACTACCCAAAAAAAAAAAAAAAACCCACAATAATGTCATTAACTTCTCATCACCTCTTTCAGCAACATTAATCATAGGAAAATCTTTAGCGTTATAATGCGAACTATTGGTCACATAGTAAATTAGTGTTGAAATGAACTTCATCAAGTACAGATGTATTGAAGGGAAGGGCAAAGCAGGGAGTGACTTCATGTCTCTGTTGGTGCTGAGATAATTGTTGAGATTTTTTGAAATCGAAAAGTCAACAGTTATAATGTCTGTAGCCAAATATGCAAACATACAATTAGAAACGTTAACCGTAGCCTTAGTCCTGTCAATCTGTCATTATAAATCTAGAATAGCTTAACTGTTTGGACCTTTTTTAACATTGGTAACCATATACCTTCATCTTGTGTTTCCATAAAATCTTGTATTTTTAACATTAATATGTAATAGAGTTAGTCTTGGCCATGTAACGAGGGGCTGAGCCTGATAGTCTTGATTCATGTTAAATCTAATATGAAGTAGAAAAAGGAAATAGAGAACAGATGCTCAATAGTAGATATTGGGTGAGGTCATAATCAATAATTTACATTTGGGAAGAATTGAAATCTCATCCAATCTGAAAGTAGTCACTAGACAAAATAAATGCAAGAATGAAACAGACCTTTATACATTGAAATCTTTACTAGTTGAATAGAATAATATTTATGCTGATGATTAGAGAACTTAGTAGAAATTGAATGGTAAAAGATATTGTAACTGAGGCTTGAACTTGAGGAGATGTATAGAAGCAGAGAAGAAAAAAGAGAGGAAATGAAATCAACTTGAAATAAAAGAACAGAAAAGACGCCGGTGGTGGAATTTGATTCTGCAGGTTAAAAACATCCCTCTTATCTTGAGAAAAGTTTAGCCACAATATTTCCCTATGTGAAAAGGAAAAGATAGGAATTTCCGAAGTTATAGAGAAATGTTTGTAAAGGTGTTGAATCATTTGATCTAAAAGTTTAAGCAGTTAGAGTACGCCACATGTTTATCATATAAAAGTTGCCTTCCAACACGTTCCCTTTTCCTGACCAAAGCCTAAAACATGCACAATTCAAAATGGTTAGCGACGAGACTTGATATTATGACCTTCACTTGTTCGGATATCAAGATGATTTGATTTAAAAGTTTAAGCTATTAGAGATGATCACATATATATCAATTGAATAATGTCTTCAACAGATGGTATACTTGCTAAAAGTAGAGCAACTCAATAATGCGAAAGCATAATGAATTAAAAATTTATGCAATATGAAGAATATATAGGAAACGTGTAGAATTGAGGTATTTGATAGAAAAGTTAAGGATCAGTTATTTGACTCTGTAATAAAAAAGAACCCCAGATCAACCATGGATTTGCCACCATTTACATGAACAACACAACTGTAAAGATGCTTCTTTCAAGGTATCTCTTGAATGGTTTTGTCGACTCTATCTTGGGTGTATTTTTCTTTTACAGATAATGGCAATTTGGAATCTTCTAGCCCGGGCAGAATAAGCACCATTAATCATGCCGCGGCAGGTAGCTCCTGTTGAATCATGATGCTCCTCTCTAGTCTATTTCAATTCATAAAGAGTTTTCATGGAATCCCTGTTCTGTTTGCCGTGGCCTTTTAGTAGAGGGAATTGGATATTGGTCTTCAAATTATCATGGAATTGTTTGTTTGAATCTGATATTGCTGCCACCTTTAGAATGCATTGTTAGTTGAGCTTCAAGTGTCCAAGAAAACAATTTTCTAGCCATATTTGTTTACCAACCTTTCTCCTTGTAAAAAATGTGTAACTAATAGGGAAAGTGCGAATCTTTTGGGAATATGGTTTTTTATATCTTCACAGTAGAATATAAATAAAGAGACTTCCATTTATAAGAGAGATTCAATCTCACTGGAACATGTATATGGTCAGTGGTGGCTGCCAAAGATCAAGCTGTTTAGGATCTTCCAATAAAGGCGGCTATGAACCAATAGAGTGTCATTTTTTTTACTTGTCTCCAAACATTACTTGCTGAATTTTATTCTGGAATGCATTGCACAATTTTCTTAAGTAGCTAATGTGAAACACTCTTTAATCTCTCTTTAGACTCCCATTACTTACTAATTGATTTCCTTTCTTTCAGTTATTCTTTTCCCCTTTCCTGGTCTATTAATAACCAAACGGATTTTGCCAATGTATAAAATAAGATTTTCAATGGCTTTGGCTACTATAACCTTCCCGACCACGATTTTTTCTTTTTAGGTATTTCACCACGAAATACGAAAGAAATAAGAAATTTTATTCTGCTAAGTGTGAAAAATATAGTAAAGTTGTACAACAGAAAATCAATAATGTAGTCTTAAATCTAATCCAAGATTCTGTCTTAGATTTTAAATTCTATCTTTTACCTTTCTTGGAACTATACTTCCCTAGTTGTTTTGAACATCATTTTCACTATATGATACTTGTTTTTTTTTTACCTGGATATTCTGGATTTCTATTCTTTGCAAAAGTGTCGGTACTCAGCTTTTATGGTCACCTCTAATTTATTGACTAGATTCATATGTTAAGTCTGTGTGTATCTGCTTTGTTGTAAGTATCAATCGATATTCTAGAGCTCATTTGATAAACCTGCCTTTAGTTTTACATAGAAACTATGTAGTTGATGTTTTACGAGGAAGCATTGGGGTTTCAGTGCTACTAGCTTACATTATTACTATTGTACGTCCAGTGAGTGGGATAGGCGTCAACTGGGGCTCACAATCATCACATCACATGCCACCCGAGACAATTGTGCGGATGCTTAGGGAGAACGGGATTCAAAAAGTTAAGCTTTTTGATGCGGATTATGATACATTAAGAGCTCTTGGGAAGTCTGGGATTGAGGTTATGGTCGGTATTCCCAATGACATGCTTGCAACCTTTGCTTCCAGCTCGAAGGCAGCTGACAAATGGGTAGACAAAAATGTGTCCCATCATCTCACTACCAATAATGTAAATATCAGGTAATTCTATACTTTGCTTCATTGCGGTAAATTGTAAATTTTCTTATTCACAAGAGAGATTTTCCCCTTAGTGAATGAAGTTTTATAACAAAGCTGGAAAGTATTGAAGTGAAATGATTATTAGCATTCTTAGAAAATCTTCTTTGTGAGTAGTGGGGGTAACGAGCTTGATTGATTCTCTCTTACATGCAAATAACGTTCAATGACCACAGGTATGTTGCAGTTGGAAACGAACCTTTCTTGACAACATATAATGGAACCTTTCTTAGAACAACGTACCCGGCTCTCAGAAATATTCAGCAAGCGTTGATAAAAGCCGGCCACAGCAATCAAGTAAAGGTCACTGTTCCCCAAAATGCTGATGTCTACTTGAGTTCAACTAGCTTGCCGTCTGGAGGTGATTTCCGAGCCGATATCCATGACTTTGTGGGTCAAATCGTGAAGTTACTGAGTGATAATAATGCTCCTTTCATGATCAATGTATACCCTTTCCTAAGTCTTTATACAGATCCCAGCTTCCCTGTTGATTATGCCTTTTTTGATGGAAATGCGACGCCTCTGAATGATGGCGGTATGAACTATTACAATATGTTTGATGCGAATCACGACACTCTTGTCTGGGCATTGCAAAAGAATGGTTTTGGAAATTTACCTATAATAGTTGGAGAAATTGGGTGGCCAACTGATGGAGATCGAAATGCTAACGTAGAGTATGCACAAAGATTCAACCAAGGTTTCATGGCTCATATATCAGGTGGAAAAGGAACCCCAATGAGGCCCGGGCCAATCAATGCTTATCTATTTAGTTTGATGGATGAGGATGATAAGAGTATTGATCCTGGAAACTTTGAGCGCCATTGGGGAATTTGCAGGTATGATGGACAACCCAAATATCGTCTGAACCTTGGAACCACTAACGTAGGATCTCTCATCCCAGCACGAGGTATAATTTATTTGGAGCAAAAATGGTGCATAATGAAGCCAAATGCCAAACTTGATGGTTCTGACGTCGTCCCAAGTGTAAGCTATGCTTGTGCACGTGCTGATTGCACATGCCTTGGTTATCAGACATCGTGTGGCAATTTGGATTCTCAGGGGAATATTTCATACGCTTTCAACAGCTATTACCAGAAGAACAATCAACTCGATGATGCCTGCAAATTTTCAGGTCTTGGAACAACCACGAGAGCTGATCCATCAACTGAAAGTTGCAAGTTCAATATCATGATCAAGGCGTACTATGGGAATGCTGGACGATTACCAAGCTATGTTCTGAGGACATTGACATTGGTGGCCAGTGTATCTATCTTTTTGTTGACTAATCTGTGATTTTTGACTTCAGCTCAACTGATCTTACTAGCATTTTAAGTGGAAAATTGGTGTGATTTATATTTTTCGAAATTTGGAGGTATACATTGATGATATTATTACATGAAGGTATTTTCTTGAACATTTGAATTATTTTTGTCACTGCCAGGGACAGTTGTAGCTCAGGTTGTGTCATTTCTGTTCTGTACATTTTTCCTTCTTCTTGAGAATCCTGAGTAACTGGTCAAGCTGTTAAAAGTAGTTAAAAGTAGTGAAAAATCTCGTCAGGGAAATGGGTTGAAGAGAGAGGCCATTCATTCCAAACCTCTTTTGGAATTTTTAGTTTTTCCAAATTTGCAAGGCAGAATTGAGGAGTGGACAGAATACAATGTAGAAAGGGAACATTGCGCAATTTGTCCCCAACCTATTTTCTCATTAGCCAGTAAATTCTCACCTTTAACAAGGAGCAATTTGAAAATGGTTCAAATTCATGTTAAGTCGTTTTCTAATCGAAAATGTTTAATTTTATGAAGCTAAGTTATGGTTTACAACTTGAACTTAATACTAGAAATTTGAAGTGTGGGAGGTTTTTACGAGGGTACATGACAATTTAACAAAGATTTGGAGATGTATTAGACTATGCTAAACATTATTAAATAACAAAGGAATGATAGAATATCTAGCCCTGCCCAGTAGGAGAATTGG